AACCTACAAAGTTTAGGTGGCATTTCAAGTCAAGGTAATCTTTTGTGATTGCATTAAATAAATTCGTCCCGAATGAAAAGCATTACTCATATCTTTCTTTCGTGAGGGGATTTTGTAATATTTGCTTTTTTCGAGTATGGCTATTTATGACAGAGACATGTCATAAAATGAATGATCCCATCAACAAATTTGATTCTAGCATGACCTTAAAGCATCTCAAGTGACATTATTATATTCAAAGTGTGGCAATATAATTGCATTAGATTAAGATTCTCCCACCAAAAAATCATGAATTGAGATTTATTGTTTCCATTTTGTGTTTCATTAGTACTAATTATACTAAATACATGACACGTATTTATAATCTCATCATATTTATACACATATTATACATTACATCTAAACATAGTGAAACACTGAGACGAGATTCTCCTATATATATATATATATATCAATTCAGAACGTGTTGAGGCTAAGTGACAGACTCGCGTGCTTTGGAATCATATGTCACAAAATTACATGTTTCTTTATTAGGTTACGCTTGTGTAGATTTTAATTTACTTATAATCCAAAGATAATTAGGTCCAAATTATCCATATAATTATTTATGGTCATGTTACATTAGCATATTAATATCATTTCTTATTATAACCATTGAATTGTAAATGTATTTTAAATTATCAGTTTACCATATATAATATATCAAATTAATCATCTCTTGTTGAGTTTCGATTTAACATCCATATTGTACGTATTAAAAAAATAAATTATATTTATCTTTATTATAATAATAAAGTTATTTTTTAATATTAATCAGAAAAATAAAATTATTTATCAATAATATATATATATATCAATTATAAAATAATAAAATTATTTATCAATAATAAATAAAAAACAATAAAATATTTTTTAATAAATTAATAATAAAAATAAAATTATTTATCAATAATAAAATAATATATTTATGTTTTAAGTAGTTATATGATAAGTTATAAAAATTACCATAATAAAAAAAATGTAAGTTGCACAAGTAATAAGTATCATTCTAAAATATATAATAATATATATTTTTTGTAAAAAAGTAAATAAAATTTAAAATAATTTTTCTCTCAATTTTAAATTTAAGAATAAATTTTTAACAAGCACACGTGTAATACACGGATGTTGTGCTAGTATAAAATTGAAATAGAAGATCCAATTCCATTAATTATACATTATATTATTACTCATCGATACATTAATTTTGATGTTACACAAAATAACATAAAAAAAAAAAACATAAATTCAAAAGACATCCCATAACATAAATATGCATTTGGTTATAAGTCTACGACAATTCGACTCATCTAATGATTAGATCAACTCATAAAAATATATGTTGTGGATAAACATAAATGGCGATAAAGTGAAATTATGGTTGGTATAAGATTTAAACAATCATAAATTTTGATTACCCGCTTTATTAGCAAGCTATCGAAATCTTAAAAGTGGGATTAAATAAACTTTTGCAACCAAAATGCTTTATTAATAAAGTAAATTACTTGTAAAAACAACAACTATATGAAATTATATTAAAAAAAAATACAATTTAAACAAGAATAATTTAATACTTGAGCTCGACTCGGCTCATTTACTAAATGAGCTTGAAATCTACTAGTTTATTGATATAAACAAGTAAGATTGACTCTTATAAAACTGAGTTCAAGCCTTAACGATTGGAGCAATAAAAAAAATTAATTAAAAATTATATATTCAAGATTTATCAGGCTGCATTCGACTCATCTCATTTGAGAGCTAGAGCATTAACGGGTAGAGTAGAGCTGAATTTACGATCAACTCGTTCATTTATTAACTATATTCTTAACTCAACTAATTAAACAGTTGAGTGTCAGTGGGGCCGGCTTTTGGGGCAGATGCCTAGGGCCTTATTTGGGACCTCATATTTTTTAATATTATGCATTTGTAATGGACTTGACTCATTTACCCAAATTAATAAAGAGACTAATGGTTAAATATGAACTTTGTGTAATATATTTGAAGCCCTCAAGTATTTTATTTGTTTTTTATGATGTTCGGTCTAAACAAGTTGTGTGAGAATAAATATTTTTTGCAGTGATATTATTATTTTTTTTTCTACTTGTGTCATCGTGACTGTTTGACTGCAATTTATCAATTTTTTTTGTAAACAACGATAATTTATCAATTTCAAGATCTATTTTAGATTTGATTAAAAAACTTGAATAATCGTTTTCTTTTTCTAATTATTTATTTAGTTAATTTGTCTTATTTAAATAGATTTTTTTCTTCTATGATTATATCTACACGTGGTAAAGTCAAAATGCTATTTTTAAATTAAAATTTTGAATCAAAGCCAAAAAGATCTTGATATACCTATTAAAAAGATAAAAAAAAAAATCATGACTGCTAATTAGTTTTATGCAAAAAAATGTCTGGTGCCTCGAAATTTCTTGAGACGCTGAACAAATCAATCATACTACAATTGCTGAAATGATGACATAAAGTTTGATATAGTAAATGTGTCACGATCTTATTATACCATTTTTAAAAATTAACAACTATAAACACTCACATTATTTCTTGTTAAACAATTATGGTAAAATAGTTGTTATTCATGAACATGTAACACTACATTTTTTTTTTTAAAAAAAAAGAGAAAAAATGAAATTTATTTTTGATTGACCGCAGCCATATATGATGGCTCAAAAGTGGCGGGCCACAAGAAAACTTGTACCTATCCAATAAAAACTAGTACGCCTATTGGACAATAGAAAAATCGGCCTGGCATTATTCAATTTCCGTTATTGGATAATGCCAAGAGTTTTCTATAAGTTCTAGAGCCGGTTTTCTAAGTTGTATTGTGCCTTAGGCATTAGAAGTTGTACCATTGCCTGTAATTGAGAATATTTCCCTGGAATTAAAACAACGTCAAAATTTTAACAGAGCCCCCATCATTTTTTGTCTCTCCCCGGACAAAAGAGAGAGAATGATTTTGTCTGTATAATCTAGCAACAAAGAAGAAACCCAGTGAAAAAAGCTTGAATTTTTCAGGTCTGGGGAGATGTAATATTTTTTTTTTCTGTTTATTAATTTTGCTCCATTAACTCTTTTATCTGCAATCGCGTGAAGATACGTCAGTGTTTTTTTTCTTTATTCTGTTTGTGATCCCTCCTGTTCGCAATGCTATTTTTGTTTGTTCTGATTGTACAATGGTGATATTTTTTTTGTGGGTTTGTTTTTTATGGCGTGATCGTTGCTAGGGTTTGAAATTGGAGGGTTGTCCTGAATCTTGACGATCCTGGCCAAAGATTGAATTTTTATGCTGGCCTTATTCGTGATATAGGGATTTTTTAATTTTGATTTTTGTTGTTTCTCCATTTTTCATTTATGGGTTCAAAAAATCAAAACAATGGAGTCAAAGGGGACATGAGGACATGTTTATACCATACTTAAATTGGTATTGTTCTAGTTATAGCATGGCATTAGCAGAAATGCATGTTACGTGTTTTAGTTTTGTTTAGGAGTTAGGGAAGCTTCTGGAGAACTTCTAATTTTGGAGAGTTTCATAAAATTTTATGTGGGCTTAAAGGAAAAGCAGTGCAATATGGGTATAAGCTATAAAGGAGATAGAATGAGGGTAACATTGTGTATTTTGTAAAAAATGAGAGAGATAGATTTTAGGATTGAAGAGTTCTGATTTTTGAGACTGATTCTTGGATCTGTTATGGCTACTTGCCTGATTTGATCGATGAACAATAATAATTTCAGGCTGAAGAGCTGAGTATATGGATTGACTGACAGAAAGCAAGTTCATTTGAAGTTTTATGCTCTTCAGCTGTTGTGATATGATAATTTGACCCGCAAAATTCATATTCATCTTGTTAAGGAACTTGCGAATATGTCTAATGGAGATGTTAGAAAGGTCTCCCTACAGGACATACAGCTGGTAAGTTAGCTGGACCGATATTTTATAGTTGTTTTGTATATCTATGTGTTCTGTATTTCATAATTTTCTTTTCCCCTATATGTGATTTGAAACTAAGGTTAAACACGAGTGATGAACCTGAAATTGCGTACTGGATATTTTTTAATCGGCGGAAGTTTTTGTATGAAAAACCCATGGTTTAATAGTCATCCATGTAGTGCAAGAATAGTTTTTTATATACCCTTCTTTCTCTTATATACAAATCCTGTTCTCTCAAAAAAACTTAGTAGTTTGCTTTATTGTTTCGAGCACTTTGTCTTACATGTATCTGTTAAATTTTTTTTTTTTTTGTTTAACTCTCTCATTTATAAGGAAGAAATGAGAATGAGGTATTATTAGTAGAGTCAGCATATATGGTGAACTTAACTTGCACATTGAAAGCCCTTCTGGACATTATTGCTAAACCTGCATCAGGTTCAAAATCTAATCGAAAGGTGCCTTCAGCTTTACATGAGCCAGAGTGAAGTCGTGAATACCCTATTGCACCAGGCAAAAATTGAGCCTGGTTTCACTGAACTTGGTAATTTTCCACTCGTCAATCTTTTTTTCGTCTAATTCCGCTCTTGAGTAGAGAGTTAGTGTGAAATCTACTGTTTTGCGTATTTTTCATTAAAAAAAAAAAAATTTGCAATTACCACTACAACTCTTTCACACACACGCACACCGTATATTTATACGTATATATAAATTTGATATTATAAAAATGTATAAATGTCTATAAAAAAGAAATATATGTGTGTGTTGTGTGTGCTATTATATTCCGAATTACTCTATAACACCTGTATCACATACAGTTTGGCAAAAGCTTGAAGCTGAAAACCAGGATTTTTTCCGGGCATATCATCTGAGACTAATTGTGAAGGAGCAGATATTGCGATTTAACCAATTGCTCGAGAGACAGGTTGCACTTATGCGCCAAATTAGTCAGCCTGAAGTTGTTTCGATCTCTCACTCGAATGGGTCCCAAATTCTACCAAGTAAGTTTCCCTCCTCATTTTAGTAGAGTGGAGAATTTATTTGCACAAATTATGCCGTATGGTTACACAAAACTTTCTGAAATTCTTATAAGCGAATACGTTTACTATTAGAGCTATTTTTTTATTTTTATTTTTTTCACGATAATAGTTGAACATACAGTAGCTTAGCTATTTGTCTCCATTGTGTACATAATTCTATCAATTTTACTCTTCATTATAGTTGCAAATGAAATAACTTTTTTATGGGAGTGGCTAATCTTGAATTTTATTTTAACAAGAAAATCTAATTCTTTTTTTTTTTTTTTGTTTTTCAGTACACAACAACACAGCATACCATTCACCGAAACCTTCGGTACAATCGATAAAGCCAGAAAATCTGCCCCAAACACAAGTCATCAATTCCTTTCGTAATATCTACACCAACGGTACAACCAATATGCAACAGCCCATGCAAGTTGCTGTCAATGTGCCAACGGGTGGGCCAGAAAACGTGCTATTGGGCCAAGGCCCGAACGTGGGCTTGATGCAAGGATTGAATGGGGGCTCGGTAAAAGCGGAATGTGGCTACACAAGTGATCCCCCACTCATGTTTGGAGCTGAGAATAGTCTCTTGGATCCACATAATGCAATTGGGGATGCCTCGAGTTCTTTTAATGGCGGGGAGTCGAGCTCACAGGCATTGAACGGGATTTTGGACAATGAGACGAGCTCATTCGGGATTTTGGGACAGATGCCTCGAAACTTTAGCTTATCGGACTTGACGGCTGATTTTTCTAACAATAATGGTTCTCTCTCTCTCTCTCTCTCAATATGTTTGATTAAGAAAGAAAGAGTATAAAGTGAAACAGGGTGATTTAAAAAAAAATTGAGTAAAGTAACAAGGTTTTCTTACAAATTGACCCCTGAGTCTGAGGCTTAGTTTAATTACAAATATGCCGAACTATTTATTGAAAGTACAAATAGCCGCAGCTTGATCCCTCCACAATATGCAGTTTTGTTGAACAAATGTGAAAGTGTTGGTGGGGTTATTTTGTAACTTTGAAAGATAAGCTGGATTCTTTTTGTAACAAAAAAACTCGGTTCTTGGAGTGATTCCTTAAATATAAAACCCGATTCGGAAAAAACTATCATTTTTTGTGGTATTGAATGTTTATGAAATTTAAATGACTTTCACTTTATACCATCAGATATTCTGAGCTATTCTCGATCTCCATTTTTGGGAACGGATGCAAACTTCTTGGACCCTCATATTGGAGGAGGACAGCAAGGTAACATGTTAGTTACCTTTCGGGTTTTACATTTTTTACGGTTGAAGAATGGTAATAAAATTTTGACAATATTTGTGTTTTCCTTTCGAGCAGACATGAGGAGGAGAGACTCGGTATCAGATGCTTTTAGTTACGATGATTTTGCCAGTGATTGAAGGAATTCCTATTACAATTAGGTATTTCCCCCAAGTAGTATTACACTTTTTACATTGTATTAACTTCATTGATTTGGATTAAAGTTGAATGTAAAATATAATTAAAAAAAAAAAAAACTTTGTTCTTTATAATGTTGAGGCTTAAGTTGAATGCGTGATTCTCCCACTTGATAATAATTTCACTTTTTTTTGTGATTTTATTGTTCCAGGGCCGGTTGCTGGGTTTGGACGGAGGTTGTTGTAAGTAACTTTCCAGATTTTTTTACGATTCAAAACTAAAACGAAGGGTACTTTTTGTCGATGCTTTACCGGGTAATAATGTAAACTGTGATATTTGATGATCCTTGTTAGTAGGATTTAGTTTGAAGGTATTTTACAAGCGAAGGCTTGTTAATGTCTTATTGATTTCTTTTCCATAAGTTAGATCTTTTACCAGAAATTATCAGAATCATGTATCGAACTTATTTTACTGTACTCAGTGAGCATATTTACTGTGTCGACAAAGGAGTCGGTTGAAAACCCGTTGTGTTCTCTTTGAGAATAATTTCGCCATTTGGCTCGAAATAAAAGAAACATTTTTTCGTTGAACTGTGACTGTAACTAGTTCAAGTTTTCTTTTTTAGTTCAAATTTACCCTCGCATGATGTTGAGTTTTTTGGAAAGAAAAGAAAAATATTGGAGAAAAAAAAAGAAAAAGCTTCGGAAGTTCTTATTGATATCTCATCCTGTAGTTTTTCATGCTCTACTTTTTGCCATGAGCTTCTGGATTTTATTACTGTTAATGACATGGTTTTACAGCAGTGAGAATCTAAAATTTTTACCATTCTTGTGTGTGATAATGTATTTTTCTGTATTAGATCACACAGTCACTGAAAAACACCATCAATTTGTGCATATTTTCATCAATGGGGCCTAAACAAAGGTTCCTGGTAAAAAAAGTTTTATTCATATGCACTAAAAGCAGGAAATTCGAATAAAAGCAGAGGCATCGAAAATCTACTTTAAAAACAAGAAGAAAAAAAAAAGTCTGCTCGTTTTCCCAACTATGACGTAAAAAATTATCAATTTTTCCGAGCCAATGCAGCTGCTATCCCACCAGCTAAAAGCCCAACTGCAGTTGCCGTAATCCCAATTCCAATAACACCGTCTGCAAATCGAGAAAAGTACAACTAGGGTTTTCATTCATGCTCACAATCGAGAAAAAGTACAACTAGGGTTTTCATGCTCGGCAAGCTCACCTTTAGTAATTCGATCCTCCACGGTTTTCTTTAGAGAAAGAGCTTGCCTCCAGTCGGGCGCAATCTAAAAAAGCATTGTACGTATTTGGTTAAGTTTTTTTGAACGATTAGTAAAACCATGTTCAGGAATTGACCTTAATATATATCAAAAAATGGACAATGAAAAGTGTTTATAAAATGAAAAACGAAACCTCCAAGCACTTGTCTAGAAGCTGTCTACTCCTTGAATAATCTCCACTTCTGTAATAACCAACGGCCAGCAAATAAAGTTTCTCTCTTTTTTGCAACGGGCTATTGGCGTTGGTTAGTGAAGCTGCAAGTAAAAGAACAAGACTACATAAAACTACACATTGAGAATCAAATTCATCACCGGCATTTAGTTAAAATGCCATTAGATGGTAGAGCAACCCGAATAAAGACTGAGACAACTCCAAACGAAATAAATTGGAAAAAAAAAAAAAT